TTGTCTTCCTGCTGAGCTTTCCCAGCTGCTCCAGTATGGAAATTAATCCAGCCATTGTACAATAGTATTCTCAGTACTGCAAGAATTTATTTCTCTGAATTCCTTTTGAAAGTAATAATTTTTGTGTAGCACTAATGTGCAGTATTTGCCCACTCTCTACACTGAACTGAGTTCAAACAGCTACTTTTCAGCTTCTTTTTGGTGACTGCTTTTTCACATCTTGAATACCATCTGGGCACATACATAACTGCCTAGTGGATCAGGATATGGACATGGGCATTTTATCAAACTTTACAGAAAGATGACACCTCCTTTATAATAAATAGGCAGATACTGAAATCCTCACGTAAGTTTGAATTCCTGACAATGCTGACATATGAAGAATACTGCACATGATCTATTCTGTTATGTTGGAAATGAAAATTTAAAAATTCTCAGTAACGGAGTTGGACAAAAGTCAAAGTGCAGTATCAGTCTCTTAAATTGACTGTCATCCAGTGGTACTTTTGTTGATACTTCAGTTTAAGTCTTTAGTCAACCAAAATGTAAGTTAACAATGCATCTAGTTTAATTATGAAATCTGATAGTCTAAGTTCCATTTAATCACTTTAGTTTTATGTTGTTGTGATTGAAGTAAGAGTTTTATAACTAAGACTTGCAGCCTATTGCATGAATTGAGGACCAACGTGCTTACACTTAGATACAATAATGCTAATGATGTTACATTGCAAGCACTGCCAAAAATTCATGTGAAACACGACTTGCTTACTTTACAAAGCAAGTTCTTATTCTCTTATTACAAAGACACATGCTTCAGTGGACGGGGTTAGCCCAACATCAAGGCAAGAGAAATACTTTATTGAATTAGGTGGCTTTCCCTAAAGGATGAGAAAAACTTTAAGTGCCAAAAAACTTCACATCAGCTTGGTTTTTTTCAGATCATTCAGTTTTTCTGGTGTCTATGGATGCTACAGTTTCATCTCCTGCACTTTGTTTTAGTTATGTGAAATGCTGTAGGACTAAGCACTGTAAAAATTTGTAATTACTCATAATTATGTTTTATTATTTTATTCTGGACTGCTATTAAATAGAGTTTCAGTAAGAGGAGAACTAAACCTCACTTTTAAATCTAGGTGCGTGTGCTTAGCCTTGCAAATGAAGTCTCCAGTTTCCTATCTCAAAGCCCACTTAGCTGGTGTCCCTAAAGTTAGTTATTTGATACAAGAATGCTGTGGTTGCATAAGCTGGGTGAACCCTGTATCTCAAAAGCCTCATCTCTCACAAGGTAGTCTGTTCTGGTATTGTATCCACTATCCCCACTGGGCATATTGCATTGGATTCTGGTAGACTTTTGATCAGAAACAAAATCAATTCTGCTGGTTTGTTTTGTATAAAAACCAATCAGAATACATGGCTAAGCCATGGTTATGTTTAAAATAACAATAATTGTCTCTATTTTGTTACGGTTTAGAAGCTGGTGAGGGTGCTTAAATGGATACTTGTTTTTAGTATTTCTTTAAATTATTAGAAAGTCAGGGAAGTAGTTGATTTATGGATCAAGAGATTTGTATTTTAAATAGCAAGAAACCTCATTAGGAAAAGCTGATCTTTCTCTTTGCACATGCTTGTTGAAAGACACATTTGGATGACTGAAGTGTCCCAGGCAGACCTTTGGAACTTCCTATCTCCAAGATGACTAAACTGGACTGCTTCACAGTGCTGCTCTCTGTGAAATGGCAGCTCTTACCAAAAGCTGTTAAATCCCTGCACTTGTTCAGTGTCTGTGTGCATTTTTTGGTACAGGTGAAAAAGGCAATATACATGTATCACTGTTCTTTTTTTAATGCTTTATGTATTTAGAAAATGCTCTGCCTAGTTTAGCAATCCTGGAAAGCCAGTATTATAGCACTACAAAGGTGATCTTGATATGGAAAAACAATTTCTTCGCAGACCTGCACTTTTCTGAATGTAGTTTTGAGTTTCCCCAGTGCAGGCAATGTATTAGAAAGGTGAAGGCAAATCTTTAAGTATCTTGTGTGATACTCAGACTCACATCTGAGCAGCCACAAGGGCATCTTAATATTTAAATTCACTTATGTTGACTCCTTTGCAGAAAATAACTGAATGTACTGATGTATTCCAGAGTTGTCTTGTCTCACTTTGTGTATGTTCTCAAGCTTGAAAATACAAGTTTTCAGGTGAATAACTTGTAACATTATTCTTTCTTGGTTATAGCAAGCAGATGAGACTCTGGATTTTGAAGAACAGATCCTGGAAGCAGCTAAATCCATTGCAGCTGCTACCAGTGCCCTCGTGAAGTCAGCTTCAGCAGCCCAGAGAGAACTGGTGGCACAGGGAAAGGTGGGTAAACAGGACAAGCAGGAAGAGTAATGGGGAAGCATAAAAATTTAATCTAGTTTTGTAAGTGTTCTGTGCTAAAACAGTAGGAAAGGAGCTTGGGAATGACTAATGAAAACGTAAACCTTTTCATTGTTCTCATCACAATACATGTTCCAGGCCTGGTTGTGTTTTAAAAAAAAAACAACAAAACCAAACAATTATGTTTATTTAAATCTTGCAGGTGTAATGAAGTATATGGCTCTTCAGATGTTTCAGCTGTGGAGAGGTTTTGTGTTTGTGAGGTTGTGGTTTTTTTCATTTCATGAAGAACTGTGATTCAAGCTAGTGATGTGTGGTCCCACAAGACAGCTTGGGGATTCAAAACCAAATGTCACAGTATATAATACCACTCTGGACCAGAATAGCAAAGGGCCTTATTAATTGTGTCCTCAATGTTTCATTATCTGATTCAATGGGGACACAGGCCTGCATGCAAATTCAGTACCTTCAAGTGGAAGTTGGGACCAACAGAAAGTGTGTTACGTGTTGTGTTTTGATCTGGTCAGGATCAAGGTCTTTATAATTAATTTCATATTTGTCACTGTTTTTTTCCCAGTTAATGTAGTTTGAAACTTAAAACCTGAACATCATACAGATATGTTGCCTATGAGAACAATTCAATATGGGATCATTATTATTGCATAGTTATGGCTTCCAATTTCATCCAGTTCTTTATTCTGGGCAAACTGTGTCATGGATTCTGTCACATGCTCTCTACTTCAGCTAGGATTCCCTCAGAGCTTCTGGGGAGCAGAGAGCACTTGTTTCAGAACAATAGGGATGTAAATGTTCAGAAAGACCCACCGTAAGCTGTAGTTATGGAACTTATCAATAACATAGAAAACATGTTATTAATACCCATTGAAATCTGGCTGTGAGGGCAGTCAAAAAATGAGCTTTTTAACTTTCCTGCTTTAATATGCTAAGACCTGTTCTTATTTAGTTTCATGACGGCACAGAGCTTGCTTTACTTTCTCACCACCACTGTAAAGTTATACAGAATAATACAGAATGTGTTTCTATCTTGGTACTAGCCTTGGGTCTCCCTTAGGTAGTTTTGGCTTCTTGGCTGCCACAGATACATGCTTATTTTTGTCTTTCAGATCAAGGCTAACAGCACTTGCATCTTATTCCACTCAAGTTCAGATAATGACTAGATCTGCTTTAATCTGTCTGTCTGAGGAAAGCTGTAGCTTGCTGTTCTGATAGAAGCACACCTGCCCCAGGTAGTGCCATAGTAGCAGATCTGTGCAGCCTGCTTTACTGAACTTAGCCATTTTGCTTTGTGTCACTCTGCTGTAGTAACTTGCTGAAACATCAGGCATGTTTGCAGTGAATGGCTTTTACTAATAGTCTCTTGCCTGCGTGGAGGATCTGCGAGTAACATCGTTGTCTTTAAGGGGAGAAATTAATCCCAACCAAAATCAAAACTTAGTGTAACAACAAACTTCAGAATTGTTTGTGGCACATCCTCTGACGATACTTCTGACATATAAATAAAGCCATTAAGATACTTCTGAAATAATGAAGCCCTAACCCATTTTCCTTCTTTCTCTACTAATTACTAGTGCTTTGGTAACAGGGTATCTTCTGTCTCTTCTGGTAGCCTGGATCTCCAGGTCAGCCACAAGCACAAGAAGCTGGCTTATAAAATGACTGACCAAATTCTTGCCCATACTGAGTGGTTCCAACCTGGTTGGGAAGTTTGTTACTGATACTGGGGAAACGTTTTGCTTTTGAAAGAAACCTTCTGAGGCACGTGGTATGGACTCCTCCCAGAAAAGGGTGGCTGGCATGTAGGTGGGAAGGACAAGTTTGATCTGCTCCACATCCGTTGCTTCAATACTGAAAAGTAAATGGTAACAACTGTTGGATTAAGTTCCCCAGTGACATTTCTATTTGTTATGGAGGCAGAGGGAACTTCTCACCCTGGTGCATGGATGTGTGTGAACCAGGTGCTTTCTTGTCCCAAATACATTTCTGACATTTCTTGGTAAAGATTCAGAAAGTGTCTCAGGGCAAACAGGCACAATGTTGCAGAATTTGCTAAAGCAATTGTAAGTGAAACTACTTTCTCCTATAGAATTGTTCTAAAATAGTTAATTCGATGTTAGGCAACTGTACTTATTTCTGCAGTATAGGTGAAGTCTGGGAAGCTTGATCTGATTTATCATCTTCTACACCATTCACACATGCATACACAGTCTACTTAAAATATGTTTTCTGGGAATGATTAGGCAAGAAAACTGCAGAACCTAAAGGATTCAGGATCTTAGCATATTCTTTTCTATACCTGATTTCTCAGCTAAAAAAAAAAATTCCTTATTAGCTATGACAGAACACATCTGCTGCTGATTGATGCTACATGTAATGATTCAATTCTGATCCCTTGGGATCTTCATTATGCTCAAGCCTCTGTCTCCATTTCCTTTTAAACAAAACAAGCTTCTGGACCATGTTTTCATTTCACATTTTCCAGCTTTTCCCAAACGTCCCAGATCCAGGCAGTCCAGTGGGATGCTAGCAACTGTAGAATTTTGTTTCATTATTTTCATCTGACATGGGAAGAAAACTGTCTCCTGGTTGTATCCAGTATTGCTGATGCCGTGAACACTTCAGTGGATAATCCATGCAGAAAATCAGACTGTTTTCCTCAAATGTCACTATTAGGCACACAGGCAGTTAGAAGGTTGGTTTCCCTGTGGAGCTTTCTGCTTTCTACCTTCCCATAGTGCCAGAATCAGAAGAAATTCAGAAATGTAAATCCAGATGTGTTGTGGAGGCAGAAAGGCCAGGAGATTAGGAACTACTGCTTCAGCTGTTTCTTAGACCAACGTCTTGGCTGTAACGATCATTACTCTGGGACTTCTACATATGTTCCAAGGATGGAACAATTCAAGCAGCGTAGCAAGTTGGACAGTACCTGAGCAGACAGATATGTGCTGGAAGCAAACTTACTCTGACAATTAATTTCCAGGTGGATTTTCTGTTCCTGCATATGCTGGGCACAGTCATGGGTGCAGGTGTTTTCTTTTTTTCATGAAGTACTATTTGTCTAAATCTAAAACAAAGCAGCTGTATTTTCTGTTTCATTGTAAGCCATCTCTGAACTGTTTTTTCAGGTTGGAGCAATCCCTGCAAATGCAGCTGATGATGGACAGTGGTCTCAGGGACTTATTTCGGCTGTGAGTAACTACTTCTCTAAAGGAAAACTAGCACCTCTGAAGAAATAATATCCTGTGAGAATACACAGTGACTTAGTGTTTTACTGTCTCCTAGGCCCGAATGGTGGCAGCTGCAACCAGTAATCTCTGTGAAGCAGCTAATGCCTCAGTGCAGGGCCATGCTAGTGAGGAGAAGCTCATCTCATCTGCCAAACAGGTGGCAGCTTCTACTGCACAGTTGCTTGTAGCTTGCAAAGTGAAGGCTGATCATGACTCTGAAGCTATGAGGAGGCTACAGGTACTTGCGTTCTTTCTTTAATTATTAAAAACCCATAATAGATGTGTGAATAAACCTCACATTTTATTTATAGTTTATTGAATTTTTAGAATTCTGTTTCATTTTTCTTGTGGGATTCTGGGGCACTTTCATTGATCAAGGATGAAGTGATCATGCATTTGTCATTCCTCAGCAGTAGCTACAGCTCACTTCACTGCTTATTTCATTCTTCATTGTTAAAAGGTGTTGCAAGATGAAAACGTTTACTGACCTGTGCCAAACCTTGGTTTTGGTGCAATGTTGATAGATTCATGATAAACCACAGGAGTACGTGAGCTGAGAATGTGTACTGGATGCATTTATATAGCAACCAAGAGTTGGTTTCTCTGCAATAATTCTGCATTCAGTTAGACTCCCAATGAGCTTGTAAACAGGTAAGCACACTTAACTTGGTTGCACATGAGTATCCTCCTGACCTCTGCATGATTATGCAGATGTTCAATGAACTACTTATCTAAGTGCCCATCTGGGTTGTTGGTCAGTTTTTCTTTGTTTCTAGGAGTCAAGAGACAGCAACTATAGATAGAACATTTCTAAAATGGAGAATCATTGTCAGACAAACACAAGAATGGAAGCTGATGAAACATCTCATCTAGAGTCCAATTTAACTTTTGTACATGAGTCTGATTCCCTTTTACATTACACATCCATTTCATGTGGAGCTTCATTGATCTGTTACTGAATTAACACTATGTTACGATAGGTAAAATTTAGTGTCTCCAGAAGTTTTGTTTAAGGGTGTTCATTTTAACAATGGCTGAAGCCTTCTCTGCAGACTCAGCCTGACATGTAAGAATGAGTTCAGCTCCTTTTTTTCACACCATGAAAAGTATGAAAATGAACTATCTTGGGTGATAGTGAAATTTCCCTTTTTTCCTCTTATTTGTACGGATGCTATTAACAGACACTTAATATAACAGTTCATGTATGGATAGGCAGACTCAAGTCCAACAGAAATACACATGACTAAGTACCTGAGCAAGAGGTTGTTTGTTGTTGTTTTTTTGTATTATTTCTTTCAAAGTAGAAAAATGGGTTAAATATGTAGGAGGAAAGAAGTCATGGATGTATGCGTGAAAAATCTGTTCCTACAGAAAGCAGTGGCATGTTAATGTTACCTCTAGGAATGAGATGGTTTTAGTGCTTTATAGTGGATTCACATAGATTGACACTGTCAAGGGTCTGTGGGGAAGGTACCAGTACTGGAAGATTATTTTGGCTGTAACACAACCTGCACATTAATATCCAAATGCCAAGGTGGGTCTGAAGGAATTTTAAATGCAGAACAACCAAGAGAAACAGGAACAAAATCAAGTATTAGAGACTGTGTTGGCTCTGCCAGGAAATGTAGGGTACTCAGTTGTAGGCAAATATTATTAAATAGATATCCAATGTGAAAAGTTGGAGGGGAATGGGAAAAGGAAATGAGCCCAAGCATGGGCTGAAACTGAACTCTGTCGCTTTGCAAAGCTTCATAGTAGTCCAAAATTACTAATGAAGGGAAAAGCACTTGGAAATAATGTCTTCTATCATAGCAAAAACAGCAAGCTGATGTCTACCACATAATTTTACTTGTGGATTTTCCAGAACTACTGAGGCTTTTCAGCTGGCTTGGTCCCTAGCACAGATGTTTTCATGTAGCTTTAATCAATAGGTTAGGTTCAGGAGTTTGAGTGTATTAGTTTTCTCTTTCCTACCCCACAAACAACTGCAAGCTTTTGGGGGAAGATATTTTAACTGCATTTCCTATGAATGCTAACTTGGTTAACACCCTGTTACAGAGTCTGTTCCAAAACTTATTGAAACAAATGGAAAATGTTTCCATAGTTATTGAATGAGCTCCCAACTGAGCAGAGTGAATTTGAAATAATTTGTCCTTTGGTCATTTCAGGTGCAAAGAAGGTTAGGTTGAAAAGGAGATGAAGCTGGAAGCATGGCCTTAGTTACCTTTTTCTTTTAGATGTGCAGTTGCTGACACTACTCAGTTTAGACAACAGATGATGTACTACGAATGTTTGGCTGTTTATCTTCAGAACTCTGAGAATTTTGGGGGAAAAAAAAAAGCTTAAATGTGAGAGAAACTTGGTTGTTGCTAATTTGCCCTGATGAAGGTCCATTAATTGAAAATTTAAATGGCCCTAATATGTGTCTCTATATGCTACTTCCATTTTCTGGTCTTCTTCCTCAAAAAATAAATCTGATCTGTGTTGTGCATAACGGAACTTGTGATTTCATCCACTGTTATATTTCAAACTGTAGGGATTTTTTTTAGACTTTTCCAGCTTCCAGCTGCTTAAATAAAGGAACTGTGGTTTTTTTCTGTATCATTGATTTTGAAAGATTAACTTAGGAAAACCAAACCAAGCTACACTTTCCCTGTGTAGTCAAGCAAAGGTGGTTTAGTTTTGATGCTCAGGTGATCTCAGTTACACATTTTTATTATTACTAAATCTCTTTTCCCTTTTTCAAAGGCTGCAGGAAATGCTGTCAAGCGAGCATCAGACAATCTCGTCAGGGCGGCCCAAAAAGCAGCGTTTGGGAAAGCAGAGGATGATGACGTTGTAGTCAAAACAAAATTTGTGGGTGGCATTGCTCAGGTTGGTACAATCACCCAAGAACTCCAGCAGCAAAAAAAACTGTAACAGAAATGTAGCATAGTGTTACAGTGTCTCTGTTGTATTGCAGGCTGGACAAATCTGTGTAGAACTCTAAGAGAAATTACTTGTTACCTCATGGTTTGGAAACCACTGACATAACAGCAAAGTGGTCTTCTGCAGGATGTCAACACTTCTTCCTTGACCACTTACCATTATAGCAGTTACCTTTTTCCAATGCCTTTTTTTTTTCAGTTCTGATAAAGTTCATTGTCCTTTTCAAACTTCCCTTATACACTTTAAATATTCCCAAATACACACTAGTACACTAGTTTTGTGTGTATATAATCAAAGAAATAGAGTGAGATATAAGAGCTAATGACATTTTGTTACTGTGACCATAATAAATACGGAGAAATAATAACAATATTTAAAGCAGATTCCAAGACTTTGAGGTTATACCAACTTCTGTATTCATTGTTATGAACGAGGAACACCATATACTGTGGTCACTAAGATATTGAAAGTTATAATTCCTGCGTGTCTGTAGTACTGTCATTCTTTTTTTGGCATTTTGAGATGCAGGAAAATCCTGCGGATACCTGCAGTGGTGAGTGTTCAATTTTACTGTCACTCAAATATTACCTAAGACGTGTGCTTATCTTGCATGTGCTAATGCCTTACCCCAGTGACTGTTCAGGCAGCACAGAATTACAAAATCCATCATGGCTGTATGCTAAAACTATGACAGTGGATTCTTAATTTTTTTTAGTTCTCTTTAAGAAATAAGAGGGAATACAATACTGTTCTTGAT